TTTTTTTTTTTTGTTTTTTAATCGGACCAATAGTTATAAATACCTAAATACCACATACACACACATATGTACATAATTAATTTGGGTGTATTCGCAGCATTTACTTAATGAGCTAATACTCCTCTACATTCTAAACATTCCATCAATCTTATCATATCATTTCCCCTCTTAAACATTTTCATTACTTCATCCATTAAATATTCATAGACACACATTAATACTGCTTGTTTTATTATATAACTCACTTGCTTAGCTAAGCACCTACCACTCACACTCATTCCCAAACTTAAGTTGGACTAACTGCGTGGAAGAGGAATCATGGAGTCGGTGGTGTTAAGAAAAAAAAAAAAAAATAAACTTCCAAATTGTTTTGAAAATATTCTTTAATTGCTTCATATGTATATGCAACTTTGGTGAAAGGCTAATGAAAAATTGGTGTCTACTAATTTTGCCAATTGCTAATTGAATTATATATACATATATAAATAATATTATATTTCTGAAATTCTATATACCAAAATTTATTAGTATTTGGCAGCAAAAGAAATTTCGATACTTCAGTTATGCATTTGGTTCTGTCATTTTCTCAACTGTACTGTACATAGAAAGCATATGTACATAACGTCAGTGTACATATATACATATGTGTAAATATAAGCATATATGTACTAAATACATACATAACTCCGTATATATAAAAACACATCTAGCTAGCATAATATGCTCGTGTGTTATGAGTAACTAAACCGGCCTGCTAAATATTATGGTGTCTTGTGTTTGTGCATCTAACAGTCAATAAATAATAAAAAATATATAACTTATACCATACATTTATATTCAATTAAAAAATGTATAATATGACTTTGGCAATTAACAAACTTAATGGGAAATTCGAAATTATCTAATACCAATCAAGAATGTTTGCAACAAATTCTAATTCAATTTTTGTTTTGTTGCAACAGGAGGCGTAACACGCATAGCGCGTCGCTCATCGGTGAATACGGCCAAGCCACCGCCGCCAGTGCGTCGCAGCTCATCGGTGACGCCAAGTCACAATGCCACCGGCACGGCGGTAAGTGAAGTTATTTCTAAAATATTTAAATATTTTTTGAAGTTAAATTTGAGTGAAAATGCAAAAAGTTAAGTATAAAGAGGCAAAAATTAGGTTAAGTATTTGAATTGAGATTATGTATGCTATATACGCAACACTAAACTACACACACTTTAGCATTAAGCACCAACACACATTATTGATAAAGAATCGCTATTTTTATTAATTTTAGATTTTTAAAAAAGTTTTTTAAATATTAATTTTTTTTTTCAAAATAATTTTTCCA